TGGTGGGTAAAGGGATCTGAATCGTTGACCTTGGTGTTATCAGCACCACCCAAGTGAGCTAACTGGCCAGCCCTAATCATCATTTTTTTAAATTGTAATTACTTTGTCCTTGTCATTGGAGTTCTTTTATGTTAGAAGATTATAAAGTTGAGATGGTTTGATGACAACAACCAGTATGAGAGATTTGATATAGTTCATTTTTATTGCAGGGGGTGGTTATACTTGATTTTATTTTTTGTAACTTAGAAATTGGACCAGACAATTGTCACTACAGTGATGGTTATGAAAGGATTAGGGCTTATTTATTTATTTTTTTGCATAACAGTCATGGGGCATTTTCTTTTGTGTTGCCTTTAATTTTAGCTATTGAAATTTCGTTTAGTTGTTCCTTTGTCTCCATGAATCATTATCTCCCGTTCCCCCACTGCCTCAATATTATTGAGCTGTCTAAAAGTTAGAAAACCCCTTCGTTTTCATACAAGTTAAAGTGTTGAACAACCACCGGGCATATCTGCTGTAAGTTTATCTGTCAACTCTTAAGCCTTGAGCAAAGTGACATTCTCCTACCTGAGGTATTAAGTGGACTGATTATTGCTTACAACACATTTTCAAATAATTTTATGTCAAGATTTTAATAAAGATTGAACATCAGACAAACCAGAATGAAATAAATTTAGTGTGAGAACAGCTGTTGGAACGTCATGAGATTTACCTTTATCAGAAGAAGTAGGTCTAAAAGCTGGATTTAGATTGAAACAACATTTAAGAGTTATATGAGAAGCAGACTGAACAATAATTTTACAGGCAATATGTGAAAGATACCAAATACACATAATTATTTTAGCGCTCCTCCTTTCTTTAAGTTGTGGGAATTAATTGTTGGTTACCCAATGCCTATCAAGAAAACCCAGAGCTAGTTTTTGGTATAAAAGGCATCTTAACAGTTTTATTATTTTGAATTTACAGTTTAAATTTAATACAGGTAAAAAATAAAGTTGTCAGAAAAAACTGATTACTATATTATATGAACATAAATCATGGGTATTTAAAAACAAGGTTGCAGTCTTATTTTAGAGTGACAATATATATTAAAATGATTTACATTAACAAGCAGTTAACAACTTCCTTAATAAATAAACAGACTAAACATAGCCACTATCTTGTATTCTTATTTCTGTCCCTCTGTAGCTATATTACCTGGTTGAGTCAGAGTTGTTTGTGTTAATGACAGCCCTTAAACAAAGCAGACAATTGTTTTCCCTCTTAGGCACAAAGAAAATGGGAGTCGATTATTCAAAACCTGCCTGGTCCCTTCAGCCTGCACACGTATATCACATACCCCCTTTTTACAAATCTAAAGTGGCCAAAGCAAAAATGTCTACAGACACTCTCTAACCTGTTAATCATTCATCACTAAACTATAAAAAAAGGAGACTTGCATAAAGTGGTATTAGTGATTTGTATTTGTAGCCTCCAATTTAGAAATTGTCCAGCTATTTAAAGATTAGGCATTAATTTACTAAATTTGATATTCATCGAAGTTAGTTATCACAGATTGTGAATTCAGTAAACTGACACATTTCTTATAATTGTAACATCACAAAAATTAATTCCATTAAAATAACTATTAGATTAAGTTTAACTTAATACATAATTTATAATTTTAAAATTATAAAGTATGTTAATTCATCTAATCGGTAAGCCTAGAGGAAAATACTTAGTAAATGAAAATTAATTAGTTTTTTGGTTTGTTTCTTTAGAAAATTAACCCTAGACTTACTAGAATATTATGCTTACATTATTTTTACATTATGGTAATAGAAAAAAGACATAATTTTAAAAGAGAAATTATTAGGCCACTGAATTTGTCCAAAAAGTAAACTTCATTAGAAATATTTTGTGATTTTTTTTCCCCTGCAAATGTTGTCAGAATCAAAATGGAGTCACCAGTGTTAAAAACTTTGAAAAATGGAGTTACAGTGGGGGCCAAGTTTCTAATACATAGAATTTGGAGGACACAATTTAAGCTTCAGTGAGTTTGGAGGGCGGACAGAAAAAAGAAAGGAAAAAAAACCCGAAAAATGGAGTTAGGGAAGGCCATGAAGATAAGGTTCTCATTCATGAATGTGTGATAACAGAAACTACCCCAAAAGACTGCAAAAACCACAACCTTGCACAAAGGCCATTTCAGCCTTACTCAAAAAAACACTTCTGCAAGGACATCTGCCCAGAAACTGCCTGTCCAACCTCAAACTGGTGCCATCCTTGTTACTGATTCTTATAGCCAAGGATAATTATCCTCAAACAATTATGTAATCCTCCGCATCTTTCCTTTGAAAACCCTCGTCTTCCTTTACCTCCCTGAACTTGTACATGTGGCTTTTTTTTTTTTCTGATAACCTGTTAACTAAAACCACTAATTAAACTCACAGTTAAACTTTCTTTTTTTTCTCTGCATTACAACTTAAAGAGGTAGCACATTTAAAGCATAAAGAAAATTTTGATTTTTTAGAAACTGGATTTTTTATTTCAAATGTATGTGTTTTTATGAAAAGTTTATATAAGCTAACTAAAATTTGTTTATATTATCATTTATTAATTTCCTGCTGAGGTAGACAATTTGCTCAAAATTATTTACATTCACAAACCGAAAATATTCTAAATTATTGTGCCAATTAGAGGAGCTAACTGTGCTAATGGAACAGAATTTAAGGTAGGTAAAAATAAAGCTAAGGTATCTACTGAGAATGTTGTTCAGTTAAAAAAGCAAAGGCATGTAACTAAGAGCAAAGGTCTAAGAGAGAGAACCACTGCTAAGAATATAGATAATTCTTTGATCCCCTTCTAAATCTAGTAGGAAATTCTAGTTTCCAATGCCATATTTCTTATAATGAACCCAGTAAGCTTTCAGAAAATAAATCTTTGTTTTATATAGGTATTGAAAGCATGCTCTATTTTTGGACTCAATAGTACAATTTATAATGATGTTTCTTCTCTCTTTTCTCTAACCTTACTCAAAAAGCCTGAGGGACAATAATTTGGAATTACTGAATCAAACTTAAGAGGCTTCGGCATAGTAATTAAACAGGAGATTCGGTTTCCTTGGTTTTCTTCTTGTCCCAAGCCTCCTGTTAGGCCTAACGTCTTTTAATATTCAAAAGTTACCATAGGCAGACATTTTAAATTCATGTCATCTTTGACACAGGAATGCCATTTTTGCAGATATTGACAACTGTTTAGACTCGTGAGTAAACACACACAAAGAGACAGTTTTGTAGGGAAGAAAGAGGCATACAAACACAACATTAAATGCGGTGGATCCCATCAAAGGCCAGAAAGAAAAATAACCCTGTGTTCTCAATTGCAAAGAATATCATAATCCTTAAACAAACATAAACAACCCCAAAAGACTACTAAATGAACCAGATTTCCTGTCCTCACCACCAACTAATCACTTAATAGTGTGACCATAAAATTATAACTCAAATTTCTCTACAACTTCTACCCATAGGCACCCAATCAGCCAAGTGCAATCAGAACGAAAACCCAGAACAAGAAACAGACTTGGGCAAGAATAAAAGTTTAGCATGCAAGAACCAAGAGAAGGTGAACAGAAAATTCCAAGGACCCAGAGCTGGACAAGGTGTTTTCAGGTCACACATTTTGTTGCCTCCTAAGCACTCAGGTAAATAATGTGTTGGTGGAACCTCCAGAAATAAATGGTCAAGAAGTTAATGATTAGCCTACTGTTTATTTGGATGGAAGAGAGAACAATCAACAAAGCTATCTCACCTAACACGGACAAAAACAGAAATTATGTAAGAAAAAGGGGAGAAAGGGAGGGGGCGGGGGACAGAACTGCAATTGCCCTGGAAACAGTGAATCTTATTTGCAATTGTTGGTTAAGCTGAATAGTTGCCAGTTAGGAGAGAGATCAGTCTGGACTGTACATCAGTCACTGAGCAGGCAACAGGACATAGAAAAAAAAAATCTAGTTGTGAAAGGACTCATAATTTTGGAGTTTGGCTGTGGAATACGTGTGGTGAGCATCTGCCCATGTTCTGCATTTGCACTTCCACCTAAATTAGTTCACTTCTGCACCATTTCTCATCAGAATCTCTCAGGTAACTCATCCAGGTCAGACAGACAGTGATTGCAAAGCGGTGTTCAAATGGAGGCCTGTCTGGCGTCGAAGCCAGGTTTTAGTTTATTACACTCTTTCCAGATATGAAACAACTGCAAATTTAAGATTACTAGGGTCCTAATTTTAAATAAACTTGACACCTAAATCACATGGTATTTTATCTAAAATTGCATAATGTTTTATTTTGACGCATTTTATTCCTTGTACCTTCCATGCTTTAAAGAAAGCCAACTTCACGTACTCAAATGTGTGCTAGATTCAAATGAAATAGACTGGTAAAGTGTTTCTAACTTTGATTTTACAACCTTTGCCTGGAACAAAGATCAAGTGAAAAGAGCTTAAGCGATGGTGGAATTTCCCAGCCCATAAACCAGGCTAGTCATCTGGAAAATGAAGTTTCTTTAATGATGACAGTGTGTGACAAATTCAATGGTTTTTCTTGCAGTTTTTCAACCCAGACTGCATATTACAAGCCTCCTACGAAGCTTTTAAAACACCAGACCCAATAGCGACAGAGAATGAACACTGCGACTTAAACAAAGAAAAACAGACAAAAATCAGTAAAAACATAAAAGCTTGGTTTAGGATCTTCAGTTAGCAAATCAATCTCATAGGTAACAAGTATAAAATAAATCAACCTCATAGGTAACGAGAATAAAATGTATCATCTAGTCCAATGTGTCCATTTATTTTGGTTTTGTACTACACCTTAGGTCTTTTCAAATTAGAACACAAAGCAACCCCCAGCCCCAACCCGCTAAATTTAACGTGTATGAACACAGCTCTTTTCGTGAGAATATGGGTGGCTCTTAAAAGAGCCTTTGGAATTAGATGTAAAAATGCTTACTTGACAAATTTACTTGGAGCTGGTGTACTTGGTGACGGCCTTGGTGCCCTCGGACACGGCGTGCTTGGCCAGCTCCCCGGGCAGCAGCAGGCGCACGGCCGTCTGGATCTCCCTGGACGTGATGGTCGAGCGCTTGTTGTAATGCGCCAGCCGCGACGCCTCCCCCGCGATGCGCTCGAAGATGTCGTTCACGAAGGAGTTCATGATGCCCATGGCCTTGGACGAGATGCCGGTGTCGGGGTGGACCTGCTTCAGCACCTTGTACACGTACACGGAGTAGCTCTCCTTGCGGCTGCGCTTGCGCTTCTTGCCGTCCTTCTTCTGCGCCTTGGTCACCGCCTTCTT